TTGAAGTTCTTTTTGGCAACTTGTTTACTTGCTGCCTACCTGGATTAGGTGGGGGAAGTCAGCTGAATTTAAGCAGTTTATAATAATAAATTTATTTTATAATGATTTATATATTAATAATATTTATATGTAACAATATGTTTATAACAGTAAATATGATCTAATGTTGTACATCTATCTCTACCAGTGATGGAGCATTACAATAAACTGGCTTGGGAAAAGCTTCACTGGAAAGCAATTTTGTATAACTGAGTAAAACTGATGATGCCCATGTGCTCCAAGACCCAATTTTTCTACTATATATAACACCTTTGAGAAATCTTTATGTATCAGACACAAGAATGTCCATGGCAGTGTTGTTTATAAAAGCCAAAACTGTTCATCAACAGTATGGGTAAATAAATTGTGGCATATTCCTTGTACTCTATGAAATTACAGCTACACACATCAGTGAATCTTAAAAAACAGTGTTAAGCACAAAAAGCAGTTGTAGAAGAATATATACAGTATGAATTCATTTATATAAAGTTCAAAGCATGTAATAAGCAGTATATTGTTAACAAAATATGATACGATAAAGAAAAGAAAAGGAATAAAAAGCACAAAATTCAGGATAAAGGCCACTAACCCCTGAGGTCGGGGTGAGAAGAGGCCCCTGGGGTAGCAGTGCTTCAGAGGCCATGGGAATGAATATCTGGACTATATCAGAGAACCACCTACCACCCTCCCTGCATGTCAGTTGCAAAAATGAAAAAGGTGGCAAAGTCAGACCTATCTTTGGAATGGGATTTTTCTTTACAAGTAGGTGTCAGTTTAATTCCTGTCCAGGTGCTTAGATCTTATATTTCAGACTCCAAGAGGGACCCAGTATTTTCTGATGATTATCTCCCCCAGGAAGAGAAGGAAATCCCTGCTGGGCAAAGGAGCTGTGATGTCAGCCACTTCTTCTGAGACACGGCACTGTTCCTGCCTGTTAGCATGACTTCAGTCTCTCAGTCCCTCCTGATTGATTAGTGATTTGCAAGCAGTTTATAAAATCATACTTTGGAGGGTTCTTGGGATCATGAAAACATCCCATTTGCCTGTTGACTGATAAAATAAGCTGTTCTTTTGTATTATTAGAAGATTATTAGAAAGGTGAGAACAGCTACTCCCTGAGATGTCTTCCTGTCATTTACATCACAGGACTTGTCCTGCCTTGATGGCTGAGAGAAGTTGGTGCAGGTTTGAAGATAGGCGAAGGATAGAAATTGGAGAACACAGTCATATTTAGGTCAGGAAACAAGGATATCTAGATGGAAAAGAAGACACTTTAAAAGGAAGCTTGTTGGCATCTGTTGGTCACAATGTATGGTTTAGGCCCCACCTTCCAACCAGTCAGCTTGCCCCTCTGTACAGCCACTCACTTGTTTGGCATGTGTGATATTGTGATATGTTGTCTCCTCCTAGGGGTGGGTGAAAATGGTGCAGCTTGGAAAGGGTGAAAACCCCATCCTCCACCCAGCTTATTGTTTATAGCTTGTCTTCATAAACAGATTAACCTGCTCCCTACCCGGAAAAGCACACTTCTGCTGTGCAGGGCTGAGTCAGAGAGAGCTCCACCCAAGCAGCAGTCAGGGGTTGCTGAGAGCAGGTGCAGAGTTGAGAACAAACGGGTTCACATTAGTGCAGGCGTATGACTGGGCAGAGATTCACAGGCAGGCGTGGCCCTCAGCCCAGGGTAAGTTGTTTCAGGCTGTTTCCCATTCCACCCTGTGTTAGGTAACTTCATCAGCTTGTAAGTCATGGAAACCACACCCACAAATGCCACATAAGTGACCTACTCCCTGGGCAAGTGATCCTGACCAGTCACAGACAGGGCCACCTTTCTCTTTTTAACTGAAGCTTTGGGAATTGTGCTTCCTTGGTAAAAGTGTGTGATTTGAAATGAAATGTCATCCCCACAACAGACCTTCTCTCCATAATATAATCCAAAGGATGAATATGGGTACAGGGGGGTGGGGTAGGGGGATGGGCCACCTACTTTTCCAGGTGTCACCTTAGCTTGATGGTTTTTATCCAGAGATCCTTATGAAAAAGGCCTGTACTTTATGCTTATCCTCTTCCATTCTGTTACCAACATTTTTCTCTAAATTTACTAGCCTTATCTTTTCTTTCCAAGTCAAGAAAGATTGTCACCCTCCTCACACTTCCACATCAGTGATTAGTCCTACATCAGCTCTTCATCTCAATTATGAGGACTTGTAATGGACTCCAATGGAGTATTTCTCTTTGTATTACTTGAACGCTGGTTTTAGGGATTTTTTTATCTTAGTTATTAATGTTAAACATACTTGTTATTTTATTTTATTTTATTTTCTTATTAAGGTATCTTTGATATACACTCTTACGAAGGTTTCACATGAAAAAACAATATGGTTACTACATTCACCCATATTATAGAGACCCCCATCCCCCATTGCAGTCACTGTCCATCAGTGTAGTAAGATGCCACAGATTCACTATTTGCCTTCTCTGTGCTACACTGTCTTCCCCATGATCCCCCACACACTATATCGTAATACCCCTCAATCCCCCTGTCTCTCCCTCCCCACCTTCCCTCCCTCCCCTCCTCTTTGGTAACCACTAGTCCCTCTTGGAGTCTGTGAGTCTGCGGCTGTTTTGTTCCTTCAGTTTTGCTTCGTTGTTATACTCCACAAATGAGGGAAATCATTTGGTGTTTGTCTTTCTCTGCCTGACTTATTTCACTGAGCACAATACCCTCTAGCTCCATCCATGTTGTTGCAAATGGTAGGATTTGTTTCTTTCTTGTGGCTGAATAATATTCCATTGTATATATGTACCACATCCTCTTTATCCATTCATCTACTGATGGACACTTAGGCTGCTTCAATATCTTGGCTATTATAAATAGTGCTGCAATAAACATAGGAGTGCATATGTCTTTTTTAATCTGACAACTTGTTTTCTTTGGGTAAATTCCTAGGAGTGGAATTCCTGGGTCAAATGTTATTTCTATTTTGAGTTTTTTGAGGAACCTCCATACTGCTTTCCACAGTGGTTGAACTAGCTTCATTCCCACCAGCAGTGTAGGAGGGTTCCCCTTTCTCCACATCCTCGCCAGCATTTGTTGTTCCTACTCTTTTCAATGTTGGCCATCCTACCTGGTGTGAGGTGATATCTCATTGTGGTTTTAGTTTGCATTTCCCTGATAACTAGCGATGTGGAGTATCTTTTCATGTGCCTGTTGGCCATCTGAATTTCTTCTTTGGAGAAGTGTCTGTTCAGCTCCTCTGCCCATTTTTTAATCGGGTTATTTGCTTTTTGGGTATTGAGGGATGTGAGTTCTTTATATATAACTTTGGGTATTAATGCCTTGTTGGATATGTCATTTATAAATATATTCTCCCATATTGTAGGATGCCTTTTTGTTCTGCTGATGGTGTCCTTTGCTGCACAGAAGTTTTTAGCTTGATGTAGTCCCATTTATTCATCTTTGCTTTTGTTTCCCTTGCCTGAGGAGATGCGTTCAGGAAAAAGTTGCTCATGTTTATATTCAGGAGATTTTTGCCTATGTTTTCTTCCAAGAGTTTTATGGTTTCATAACTTACATTCAGGTCTTTGATCCACTTTGAGTTTACTTTTGTATATAGGTTTAGACGATAATCCAGTTTCATTCTCTTGCATGTAGCTGTCCAGTTTTGCCAATACCAGTTGTTGAAGAGGCTGTCATTTCCCCATTTTATGTCCATGGCTCCCTTATTGTATATCAATTGAGCATATATGCTAGGTTTTACATCTGGGCTCTTTAGTCTGTTCCATTGGTCTATGAGTCTGTTCTTGTGCCAGTACTAAATTGTCTTGATTACTGTGGCTTTGCAGTAGAGCTTGAAGTCAGAGAGCATAATCCCCCCTGCTTTATTGTTCCTTCTCAGGATTGCTTTGGCTATTCGGGGTCTTTTGTGGTTCCATATGAATTTTAGAGCTACTTGCTCTAGTTCATTGAAGAATGCAGTTGGTATTTTGATAGGGATTGCATTGCTTCTACAGATAGCTTTAGGCAGGATGGCCATTTTGACAATATTAATTCTTCCTATCCATGAGCACGGGATGTATTTCCATTTATTGGTATCTTCTTTAATTTCTCTCATGAGTGTCTTGTAGTTTTCAGGGTATAGGTCTTTCACTTCCTTCGTTAGGTTTATTCCTAGGTATTTTATTCTTTTTGATGCAATTGTGAATGGACACACTTGTTATTTTTAAAATTCAAAAATTATGGAAGTACGACATATCAAAAGTAAAGCCCTCTCCCAAAGTACTTTTGCTTTCCTTGAAAAAAACACTGTTTTCATTTTGGTGATAGTCCTCCAGATATTTTCCTGTACTTAATTCTAACATGGTAACTGATCACTCCAAATGTGTTCAATACACTTTTTTGCTCAGTAGTATACCTTGGACATCATTTCACTAAAATACCTGTTTTTAACAGCCTCATAGCATATGGGTGTGTAGATTATAATTTTTAAGAATTCTTTTTTTTAGTACCAAAGTATTATAGTAAACATCCTTGTATGTATATCTTTGTGTACTTATAGTAATATTTCTCCAAGAAAAAATCTTAAAGGAAGAATTGCTGGTTAAAAGGTTAAATTTTGAGAGCTACTGCCAGATTTCACTCTTAAAAATTGTGCGGCTATACCTGAGAAGCCTCGTTTGGCCACACCATCATCCACACTGGTTGCTGGCAACCATTTTGGCGCTTGTCAGTCTAATAGGCAAAATATCAGAACTCGTATTCATTTGTTTTTGTTGCTGTTTTGTTTTTGTTGCTATTAGTTAAATTGATCATCTTTTTAAGTGTTTAATGCCTCCCTTCTTCCACTGGGCATTAAAGCATTTTGTAGGTTAAAATTTAAGATTATCTGGAAGCAATTTCTGGGGAGGGTGTTGAGTGTTTTCACAAACCGGAGTAAGGTGTTTCCTGTGTATGTGCTCCACAGCAAACAGCGGCATAACAAGCTCTGGAGATCTCATTCAGATAGTGACCTCTCAGACCACCATGAGCCAATCTGCAAACCAGGGCTTGAACTCAACAAGAAGGAGATCACCACCTCAGCAGACCAGATTGCCGAGGTGAAGACCATGGAGAGTCACTCTCCCATACCTCCTGTCTTTGTGGAACATGTTGTCCCGCAGGATGAAAATCAGAAAGGCCTGTGTACCAAAGAAAGAATGATCTGCTTGGAATTTACTTCTAGGGAATTTCATGCTGGGCAGATTGAAGATGAATTAAACCTAAATGACATTAATGGATGCTCATCAGGGTGTTGTCTCGGTGAACCGAAATTCCCTCTCGACAACTGCCAGGCATCCAAAGCCTTAATCCACTCTGGACAGGCCCCAGCAATGGCCAACAGGTTCCCAGACTTAGCAGTGGAAGACCTGGAGACGGATGCACTGAAAGCAGATATGAACGTTCACCTACTGCCTATGGAAGAACTGACATCTCGCCTGAAAGACCTCCCCATGTCTCCTGATCCTGAGTCACCGAGCCCCCAACCCAGTTGCCAGACTGAAGTCCCAGATTTCAGTACAGACCGCATTGATTTTTTCAGTGCCCTAGAGAAGTTTGTAGAGCTTTCCCAAGAAACCCGGTCCAGAACTTTTTCCCACTCAAGGTTGGAGGAACTGGGTGGAGGCAGGAGTGAGAGCTGCCGACTGGCCGGGGTGGAAGTAGCCCCCTCCGAAGTGACAGCCGACGACCAGAGAAGCAGCTCTTTGAGTGACACTCCCCATGCATCTGAAGAATCTTCAACAGATGAGGAACAGTCAAAGGTAAAACTGTCTTTATAGTTCTCCACCTAATGAAGTTCTCGTGGAAGATAAATTTTTGAGATTCTGCTATGTTGACTTTATTTTTGAGGTTGCTAAAGATTTAGGAAGGTAGCATAGGAGAAAGTCTGGCTGAGACTTTCCTTGAAAACTTAGGGTTTAAACATATTTCAAATGAGTTGCCTTTGAGGACTTTCTCTTTCCAGGCTTTTGGTGTCATTAGAAGCACTTCGGAGAGGGAGTGAAAGAAGGGATTAGCCAAAACAAATGTCCTGCCTGAACAAGGAGAGGCCTCCTCCCTGTACCTCTGCAGTACAGGTCAAATTTCACCAATAATGAAGTGCCAGGGACTCGTATGCTGCCTGAATGAAACCTGGGTCTCTCTGAGAAGATGGATTTATTTGGGAAATTCTGTCTCAGAAAATTCAAAGGCTTGACATGGTGTAGTTGTTGTACTAGCAACTGATTCCCATGCTTAGTTTTTGTTATGGTGTTTCTAAATTGTTCCTCACCTCAGACCCTGTGGTATTCAGGAGTTGAGAGGTGGTTTGGGGAGTGATTTGAGAGAGACAGAATCCCAAGACACTTCTCAGTGGCAGGTGAGCTTGTTGGCCATAGCAGGCCCTAAAAAGAATTACTATATATCATTAATTCTAAGACTCACACTTACTCTCAGTTTGACCCTTTGGATATTGGGATGCATCTTAAAAACAATAGTATCTTAAATCAGCATAATGCAGGAGTTGGAATGTAAGTGGCGACAGATTCACTCTAACATACCAAACTTCACTTAGTGATTTCAGAGCTGCTGAGTAGATTCTCTACAGCTCCTGATGCCTCTCTGCTTTTATTTCCCACCTTGTTCATTACTCATTGGTTCTCTCCCTTCTTAACTACCCCAGGGCAATCGCTGCCTATGCGTCTTGTCTTCTCCTTTCCCCAAAGGCTATGCCTCTGTTTTGTTTATACTAGGAAATCAGAATGCTCAAGCTCTCCTTTGGACCAATGGGTATAGCAGCTCTGACAGAAATAGCTTTCCTGCAAAGTCCCTGGTCACATGAGCCCTCTTTCTGCAACCCATGCACCCACTGGGCCTGGTGTGGCCTCTCTCCCAGCCTTGGAAAATTCACCTGCCTGCCCAATACCTGGCAGATTTTTCCCAAAGCCATAATTGACCTTGCTAGTTGTACTAGCCCTGCCTCTCTTTTGAAGGAGAAAGGCCAGAACAATTCCCAGAGAAATATTGCACTTTGAAGGCTTATAAAAGTGTTAACAAAGTAGATTGATGGTAATGATGCCAATTTAGGAGTTGTCTAAGGGCCATTTACAGATTTTAAAATTCTGCATTTTTTACAAAAGGACTTGATTTTGCATTGGCCAGTTCTCTTTGGCCTTATTCTAAATCCATATGGGAATTCGTAACTGGTAGAACAGTAAAATGTCAGAGAGCCACAGTTTCTAAGTTTGCTCAGGCACATGGCTGCATAAGCCAAATAAACCTTTCCCAAAAGGAGCCAGTGAAACTTAGGAACCCTGCAGTCAAATACAACGCGCCCTCATGCCCCGGGATGCCGCCCCTAGGAGGTGAAGGCTGTCAAGACAGGGGAGAGAAGAGAGCAGTGAGTCCCCAGTTAAGACATAAGATGGCCTCATCCATCTCGCTCTGCCCAACACTGGCCATGTTTAAGGCCACTGAGCCCTTGAATGGAATTCCACCTGTGGAACTAGGTTAGGATCAAACTGGAAGTTGATAGGGCAGAGAGGAGAGGTTTCATTTACCCCAGTATGGTCTAAATTCTGAAGACTCATGGTGTTATAAAGATAAGGATAATAAGAGCCTCCAAAGCTGTTTGCTATTCATTTTTGGAGCAAGATATTGTATTGGAATCCTGTTTGAGTAAACAAAGTTTAATACTGATACAACCTATAATCTCTGTCCTTGATGAATCTGGTTTGTTTGTTTTTTCCTTTTACAACAAAACAGCCAGAATAAAGTCCTAGGCAGGGATGATGTCCCGGGCACTCCATGATTTGTGTTCTTACAGCCAGAAGGTGCTCCTGGATCAGAGGATTAGTAAGCAACAAATCTGGCATTTTCAATTAGACTACAATTTGCCATAACCATCTCACTGTTTTCTCTTCTTAGGCAATCTCAGAACTGGTCAGCCCAGACATCTTCATGCAGTCCCACTCAGAAAATGCAATTTCAGTCAAAGAAATTGTCACTGAGATTGAATCCATCAGTCAAGGAGTCGGACAGGTTCAATTGAAAGGAGACATCCTCTCCCACCCATGCCATACACCAAAGAAGCACACTGTCCATGAGCTGCCCCCTGAGAGGGCCCAGGCCCCAGAGAGCAGACCTGGAAATCAGAATGAGGGTTCCTGCACAGCCCAGCCTGAACTAGGCAAAGACTCGGGGAGGGGGGACCCAGAAGGCTGCCTGACCACACACTCCTCCACTGCAGAGTTGGAAGAAGAGGAACCAGCTGAGGGGGAACAGGAGCTCTGGGGCCCAGGGATGCACCCAGGTGCCAAGTGGTGCCCGGGTTCTGTGAGGCGAGCCACCTTGGAGTTTGAGGAGCGCTTGCGGCAGGAGCAAGAGCATCATGGCACTGCTTCTGCTTGTACCTCGTCCACGCGCAAGAACTCCAAGCATGATTCTTCTGTGGCAGACCCAGCACCAAAAGGGAAGAGTGACGAAGCCACCCTGGAACATTCATTTGTCCCCAAGGAACTAGAGATGAACAGGGGCAAAGGGAAATGCAGTGGGTCCGTGGCTGGCTCACTACTCCATTCGGAGCAAAACACCATTGTTACAGCACTGGAGCTGCAGGAATTGCATGCCTCACCAGGTCCTCTTGAGTGCCCAGGGTCAGATACTAGAACGAAGCAGGACGGAGTCCTGAAGGGGCAGAGGACTGTGGTTTCATGCCAGGGATCTGAGACACAGGCAGCCCCTCTTCCCCTTCCCAAGGAAGTAGACATCATTGAGTCTTCCCACACAGTTGTGTTGCCCAGTAACACTGGGCCAGGGAGTGAAAGAGCCCCCAGTGGAAAGGGTAGGGAGCAGGGACTGAGGGAAGTCAAAGTGGAGAATTCCAACACTGTCCTCTGTGCCCTGGATGAAAATCTGAACAGGACCCTGCACCCTGACCAAGTTTCTCTGAGCCCAGAAGTGCTACCTCCGCCTCATTCTTCTGAGCACGACAGGCCCATGAACCCAGCCTCCACCCTGAGCAGCCCCGAGGACTGGGGCAACAGCCTGTCAGCAGCCCTGGAGACCACAACAGCTTTTGTCAGCCACTCAACCCACGTACCGTCGGCCCACTCAGATTACCTGTGTCCCCAGACAGTGGTTCACCTGGAAGGCTTCACAGCACAAAGCAGCACCACAGACAGCAAGCCCTCCACAGAGCAGGAGAGCTGGGAAGGAAGTCAGGAGGGTCCCTGCCCCAGGGGCAGTGAAGTGCAGTATGAGGGCTCCCAGTTACTTAGTGAAGACCTAAGTTTAATTAGCAAACTTGGTGACAATATTAAGGAATTACAAGAAAAACTGGACCCATCCCCTGTAGCCTGTCAACTCCCACATCGCTCCGGTAGTGACAGTGCCCAGGGTCTCAGCCATAGCCCCGGTGTGGTGAAGGAGCACACTGAAGAAACTGAGTCCCAAGTGACTCACCAGGTAGGGCTCATAAAACCATCTCAAATGAGGCGTTCAGCTTCCCTCGCCAAGTTGGGCTACTTGGACCTTTGTAAAGACGGTTTATCTGAGAGGGAGCCTGTCTCCTCTGAGTCCCCTCATCTCAAACTGCTTCAGCCCTTCATCAGAACAGACTCAGGCATGCATGCCGTGGAGGCCCAGGAGCCCCCAGAAAGCCCACGTGTCCCCCAGAACCTGGAACCCACCAAGTATTTTATAGAGCAACTCAGAACGACAGAGTGCATTGCGCAGAGCAAGCCAGTGGAGAGGCCCCTTGTACAGTATGCCAGGGAATTTGGTCACAGCCAGCAGTGTCTGCTCCCCAGGGCAGGACCTGAATTGACTAGTTCTGAAGGAGGCCTTCCTTTGCTGCAGACCCAGGGACCGCAGGGTGCAGGCCCAGCCCCAGGGCTCACTGTGGCACCCCGTCAGCAGCAGGGCAGAACTCACCCCCTCAGGAGACTGAAAAAAGCAAATGATAAAAAGCGGACAGCCAACCCCTTCTATAATACCATGTGATTCTGAGCCTACACATGTGACTTTCTAAAAGAAATGTTTGTAAAAGGGACAGGTGTAATATGTAAGGAACATGCACTTTATTGGTTAATTTTATAATATTTTGGTCATTTTACTGTTCCTGGCGCATGCAGGGTTTGGGGTTTTTCCTCTATGTATGTGAGAGAGATTGATTTGGACAGCAAGACCATTGTACCTTTTTTTTTTAGAAAATTCAAACCTCAAAAAATACTCATTTTCAAAGAACACCTTTATCAAAGGCAAATTGCTGTTTTTCAGTCAAATGCCACCTGCTCCTCATTTTGCCCTCAGAAAAGGCATGCTTGAGGAAAGAAGCAGGTGGGGAGGGTGGGGTGAAGCCAGAAATTGGAAATACTCCCCCAGGCCTGTGTGACGATGGGCCGCAGATGAACAGCAGATGAGCTGCAGGGCCGCTGTGTCAGAGTGCTCTCAGCCTGGAGCCCCGGCCCAGCCCAGCCCACTGGAGTTCCTTACGTGGACCAATTCTGCTTTGCTTTCAAAGGAGATCTTCCAGAAAATGGGTCTGGGTATTCCAGATGTCACCATTATAGAAAGGTATGATAACGGCTGGCTTTGTGAACTTACCACGCAAAGAGTCTTCTCCCCAAACAAATAATATTTGAATTCAAAGCGAACCCCAAATGAAATCTGAGAGGTCCTCTGTAGAGGAATGTGTATGAGAAGGAGTTGGTGAAGTCGGGGGTGGAAAGGCCGCTGCCCCATAGTTTCCGGGTTGGGGGCTCCACACAGGTGGTCATCCTGGCCCTCCCTGACAGGAAGCATGTGTGCAGCATCCTCCCAACTAAAACACAATAGGGGTAAGTTTGAAAAACAGCAATTGAAAGTCAGTGTGTTCTTGTAAAATGGATACATATGTAGGGATTAATACGTCCTTTACTTGAATTACTCGGTGGGCCTTCTGAGTTCAGTGGCCATATTTTTTTCCAATTTATTCTCCTCCCTCATGCAGTTCTCCCAGTGCTGCCTTTATTTTTTAATTTTATAGATGATATTTGAATTGTTACATACATACGTATAACCTCCATTGAAAGCAAAGGTTTTTTTTATATTATCACCGTTAACACTTGACCTAAGTTTTGTTTCCTTCTTTTCCTGGAAGATTTGTCATTTCTCTACACACAGTATTTATGTACATAATGTCATCACTTTGTTACAGTGTTTTGTTATTGATGTTGTAGGGCCTTTTTGATTTATTCTTTTTAAGGAGTAAAGCTGCAACTGGAAAACAAATACCACAGAAATAAAATTGATGGGCGTTGGTAGGAATCTACGGAGATATTGACAGTGGTTTTGTTTAATACAGACTTCTAATCACCAGCTCCTGCCAAATTATGTTAGTAACTTCCTCCTCAGAGGAACCCCTAAAGGCTCCCATTAGCTCACAGTTTGACTGACAGCTCGTTTCTCTTCGAGACCGAAATCCCAGAATGGGTTGTTTGCCAGTAGCTAAACCACAGCCAGGGAGAATGTTTGAGGGTTGCTGCTTCCTCGGGGTGGAACCTCCTAATGGATTAGGCTAAAAGGCTGCAGGGGGGGCTTGGCCAAGGACAGGCGCCCTTCCTGTCTCCATTCAGGGAGCAGTTGCTTTGCTGCTATTGTGGAGATCTTAACAGAGCATCTGCCACAAACAAGCCTATTTCAGCTTCTTACGAAAAACATTTAGTCTGGAATGAAACACCCTCTGCAGCTCATCAAAACTGAAGAGGTTTGCAAATTTGCTTCCTGTTTGCTTTGGTTGATGTCCACATTGCTGGGAGACTGAGTACAGACTTGAGATGTAGGTTTTTGGTTCATCACAGCTCTGAGAGGAAAAAACAGATGCACAGACTGTCCAGGTGATACCAGAGGCCAGAGTTTCGTAGGGGCAGGTAGTAGCGTGACCCAAAGGAGAGAGCAAAGGTGGACTGAGGCCACTCTTAGGTGCTCAAGAGGAGCTGTGAATCCAGTTGCCATGTGGAAGCCGAGGTTGGGTCTGTTGTCACTGCCAAGTGGCAGATGGGACAGAAGCCTCCTGCTATAAGTGTCTTTAGAGTGTAGTAATTACATGTACTTGTGCTGTCCCTAAATAGTTTCCTTAAATGTTCAAATGTGTCATGCACACAGCTTTGTGATTCCTGGATATTTAATGTGTTGTAAAGTGTTTTGTTAAATGGTATGTACCAGTGTGAGAAAGCTTGCAAGACGGGGTTATGATCTCCAGGGCTCATCCATTCAATCTGCCTCTGTCTTATTGAGACAATTCCACCACCAGTGTGATGGGGAAAGGACAGGGAATTGTAGGGGTGGAGAGAGGAGGATTTGCATGGAGGTTAAGAGAGTGGTGTCCACTCACATTAACCCTGAGATGGTGACATTTCTCACAAGAAGCAGAAGTACAAGCAAGACGGACAGCATTGCACTGTTCTCTCTCCCCACTGGCCACTGTGTTTAATGCTCATTCACTGCATTGAATAACAACAAAGATGGGGAGGAAATCCTTTAATGCTGTGAACTAAAACAAAAAAATGAGTTTTTTTAAAGCGTACAGGAAATGGTCTTGCTCTGCTGCCTTTTTTTTCTTAACTGCATTTTTTAATCTAATTTGCGAGCCTGAATAAACACAGGGTCTGTAACTCAACCATGCCATGGGGTTTTGCCAGCCATCTCAAACTCACACAGCTGAGCGTCTTGTTATTTACTTAGGTTGAACAGTGTCCAGGGGAAGTGCATGACGAGCTATCAAGGACTTCTCAGACTTTCTTCTCTTCAGACTTTTTGATAATCTCTGGTAACCTATTTCCCTTTTCTGTTCATGGGTGACCCAAAACCAGAACAGCTGGCCTGATAAATATCTGGGCAGAGTTGAGTAAGAAAAGTCTTGACCTCTTGGTCAGTACCTCTCTATTTTAGAAACCACCAGCCTGACTCAGCTATTCTGGAGGGGGTGCGTGGGGGTGGGGTGTGTGTGTGTGTGTGTGTGTGTTTGTGTGTAAGTATAAACATACGCGTGCATGGGGAAAAAAGCCCTGGAAGTGCACAGGTTTTGAGCTGTGATCTGGATGGTTACCTGGTCAGTAAGGAGAGAAGCCCCAACCCTTTCCTGATTTTAGGAACACTTAGGAGCGGTGTGTACTATGGTAGATAAGTAACACTGGAGTACAGTAGCAGTCATCTCATTTTGGTTGCCTTTCAGATTCTGAATGTTTGGGATCATTTCTAGCATCTCGACCTCTTCAGGTTATTTATCTAGCATTTTCCTGGTTCTGTTCCTTTATCTCAACTCTTTCTCATTTTGGGAACTACCAAGAGCTCCAAGGACCGTCTGATGATGACACCCAGGCTCTGGGGTCCGCCCCTGCTAAAGGACCCCTGACAGGTGCCGTTGGATAGACCTGACATTTCTGCGGCAGAGTAGCAACAGAAATATTCACCTGTTCCACCTGACGATTTCAGTTTTGAAGTGATATAGGCATGTTTGGTAAAAATATTCTTGTGGGAGTTGTTTTTTATTTTGTTTTTAAGAAAGCATTATGCAAAAAGGGTCACTTTTAAGGGCATTTAAAAATTTTTTAATAAAGCCATTATTTGGCTTTTTGACAACTATTTGTGGATACTTGTTTACATTGTAAGTATTAAAATGTGCATCGTGTTGACTGCCGCCCCGCCTACCCCAGGCGCCCAGCCCTGACTGTCGTCCTCTGAGTCCTCACACCACAAGGCCCCAGTGGGCAGCCCTCATGAGGAAACAGGGAGACTTGGAACTGACTTCCGTCTGTGTCCTGCACTCCCATCCAACACTCTGTGTGGAAATAGCGGTCATTTCCTCAGTGCTGGTGTGTCTTACAGTGATGATTGTAATGGTGAATGGCTAGTGTTTTTTATTTTGTTTTGCTTTTTGATGGTAGATGAGATGAAATTTTAGCTCTTTCAGCACCAATCCAACTTGAAAGCATCTTGGACTTTGTTTTCCCTTCCAAACCAAAAGATCAAGGCATATGTCAGGCATAAATGTATTTGCTGCCTCAACTCATCCAATGCCCATATTAGGAAAAAACCTTCAACCAAAGCAGGAAGCTGCACACTCCTAACCCTTCTCCCAGGGCTGGGGGGCTCTTGAAGCCTTGGAGAGCCACTGAAAGGTATTCCTGTACTTTTCCAGCCTGGGAGCAGAGGGTGACTGGGCCTGGCTCCTGCTAAGAGCACCAGCCTCATTTTCTCAGGTCCCCAGAGATCTAGGACAGGATTTCTAAACTGGAATCGTCCCTTGCTGGCTTGAAAATGCCCCAAGGGGGGTGTATTACTAGTGCCGCCATCTGTGCCCACACAGTAATGCTGGTGGCAGCATCCTGTATACACACGCAGGGCTAAGACCCAGGGCTTCACTCGAGCCAGTTGACCCAGTCTGAAAACTTGGGTGACTGGCCCAGAAGTGTTTCCCAATCAGCAAGTCCACAGGGAATTGTTTGGTTTTTGTGTTTTATTGGATTTTGGTTTGCTTGGCATAACTTAAGGTGCCTTTTCTTTTTTTCTTTCTACTTTATTTTGTAGGGCTTGTCCTAAATGTGGAAAACAAGTCCAAAAGACTCTCCCATTGACTGTTACCTTTGCCCCAGGCCACCCCAAACTTTTATGCTCACATTTTATTAAATAAAGCAGGTGCTCCCTGGAATCTCTGGGACCTTTTTGAGGCATTTGAAGCAGAATATAGAGTGGTCTCATCTCCTTCCTTAATCTTCATGATGGTTGGGATGTTCCACTTGTATCATAGATTTTTTTTTTTATTACTGATGTGCTCTGCTGTTTTTAAATGTGAACGTGTGTGCAAATGTGCAGATTCAATGTTCTTGTTACAGATTGAATAAATTTTATTTTGAAGATGAAACACGTGTACTTTATCAGCCACAACAAAGGGGGGGTGGTGGCTGGAGAAGGTGGACGGATTGGAAGAGAACACTGATAACTGTGGGGCAGTTCTCGATCGATCTCCATCAGGCACACCCTTAAGAGTTAGTTGAGCTCTGGAAAAAATAACTTTCCACCTCCCAAAAAATAAAAGACTAGGTGGGAAATAGAATCACTAAAGATTATTTCAGACAGTGTGGTTCCAGTCAACTGACCAAGCTGGGAACTTGCCTGGTCAAAGAGTCTGTTGCCAAAGCCATCATCTAAATGTTAGGAGAATGAATAAGCAAAGGAACCAAAATTCCTCTGCCATCTGTGATACGGAATAACTGCTATGTAACGATTGTCATTGCATGATCTGCTCCAGCAGGGACTGGATTTCTTGGGTGAGTGACCTGTCTGAACATTAGTGGGATAGAGTTCACAGGCTATAAGCTTCCAGCACAAGGCACCTCAGCTCACTGGTTTCTAAAAATGGGGACTGACTTTCCAAAGAAGTGAAGGTTTTAACCACCTCCTACCATTAGAAGAGAAGCATTTGATGTCAAGGGTGAAGGAAGGGAGATGGGGCCAAAGGGCAGTTCTCTGAAACAGGCTGGAGGAGGATGGGAGATCGGTTCCCCACTTCTCCCACCCTTCCGCAGACCCATCATGAGGTATTTAGTGGTGCCATTCATTACATACAAGGCAGCACTACTATCCAGGGAAGATCAGTTTACAAATTGCTAACAAAACAATTTACCAAAGTTTCCAGAGAAAACACTGCCTGGAACTAAAGCTAGCTTGCTTCATTATGAATCATCCAAGTAGGAGGCACACAGCCCTGGTGTCTACCAGAGTGTCAGCGCACATAAGTTGCAGGCAAGGTCATTTTCATGAAATATTCTAAGGGTGCCCAGTGGCCCTGAACATCTAGGTAATAAGCTCAGTCTTGGCTGTCTATCCAAAGCAAATGAACCAAATCATAGTCTAAGTTGGTATGCCACCTGTTTCAGAAAATGGCTTCATGAAAGATGAAATCCATGCCTGTCTTCTACAGATTACTGTTCAGAGCACAGCTCACAGTTCAAATGGGTTGCAGCAAGGGAAAGAACCAAGCCCAAGCAGCCGCTTCCCCTGACTGGTTCTTGAAGCCTTGGCCCCCCCCACACACAGTTCCTGGCAGGCTTAGGCAGACAAAATAACGGCTAGAGGGCACAGCTGCGCCACCTCCGGGTCCAAGCAGTGCCTGTGACTCCCGGCTCCTGCACCCCTCTTCCCAGATGTTAGAACTGAGGACATTGGTTTGAAGGGTTCCTGCTTCCCTTCCCTCTAGAATGGAGTGCCTAGCTCTCTTTAAAGGGGAGGAAAGGAAAGGAGGAAGGAAAGATGTCATTACAGTGTAGGAGGTACCATGCCAATTCCCTTATCCGCCAACAAGTGGTGCGCTTGGAAAAAACCTGACTCAGCCCTTTTCATTTTACAGCCCAGAGAGCTGCCAAAATAGGGTGATTGAGCCAGGGCTGGAACTCCAGTTTTCTAATTAGTCCAGGCATCCTTTCCTCTGTGTCACTAAGCATAACTATCAGTATTCAGCACTTGTGAGATAAAGTGGCACTATGCTTCAAGGAGAGACAAATGCATGGTACTGAAAAGCATGGACCCAGATGCCAGATCACTGGGTAAGAATCTCAGCTCCATCAACTACAGTTGAGTGGCAGTTAAGCTCTGTGAACTCTTTGTAAGATAGGGATGAAAACAGTACCCATCATCTGTAGCACAGGGATGATAACAGTTGGAAGTAATATGTATAAAGCCCCAACTGCATCACTCAGTGCTTTTTCTGCTAATTGTATGCCTGGAATCTTTAAAAGGAAGACGCCTCATCTACCCTTATGGCCCCTCATGCCATGAATTACTTCTGGAGCACCTGTAACAGTTGCTGATTCTGTTCCCCTAGAAGCCACTGAATATGTGGGCTTCAAGGTTCCCACCACCTTCCTTTCCCCTCTTCTCCCAGTGCCAATCTCTGCCCTCTGGAGGCTGTGTTCCATAGTTTCCCAGATGTGCTTTGGAAAGTGTGAAATAATAACTGGCCCCATGATGCCCTACAGGGCCTTATGACCCAAAGGGAGAAATTCAGGCAATGGGGTAAGGCTAGGCAGCACTACAAGGACACGTTGTTCTTCGCTGCTGTATTTTGATCGTTTCTTTTGATCTCCTCCTTAACCTTGATCAATATCAGAGTCCTGAGTGGGGTGGGAGGAGGCGGAACCTTCCCTGGAACACAGTCGGGCACCAATTTTAAAAAGGCCCAAGAGACTTTAGGAGTCAAGCTGGGCTTCTAAGATTTGACTGGCTAAAAGAGACCTGTGCCAGCTGGTTCCCTTTGAACCTGGTGTTGCCAGGGGGTCAAGGTGGGTTCCCTTCCTCCCTCACAGACCCCCACCCCCCCAGTCTTTAGACTGCTTTCTGCCCTGCTCCATGGAATTATTTCTAACGGAGTGAAGTACGTAGTATACTGTCAGCGTTTTAGGCTTTTCAAGAGGTCCTATCGCTATTAATAACAACGGTAACACTCACAGCCCCGTGTCGGGTACCCTCGCAGCTGCCCTGGGCCAGCCTAGGCCATCGTCCAAGGGTTGAGACGACTCCCCAGAGCATCTTCCGGGACCTCTCTGGACTTACAGTCTGGCAGCGCAGGCCCTCTGGGACTGGCTAAATTAGGAGTGTGATTGCCGCAGGAATGCGACGCCATGGCACCTGACCCTGCGCGGCTGCCGGCTCCAAAGGGAGGGCGCCCCCTGGTCGGACTACCTGTCTCAGCGCCCAGCTCCGACTCTGGGAATCCGGGTCTACCCAGCCCAGCCGGCAGGCGCGGAGGGCGCGGAAGAACTGTGCACATTCACAAGACGCTTTCTCGAGACCGGCGGGGGGCCCCACGAAGTTCGCGGCGCTTGTCTTTCCCGCCGCTGGGGAGGACGGGCCAGACCTGGCCCCGCCCCCAGCTCCGCCTCCGCAGGTTGATGGCAGCGGCAGCTGGGACCGCAGCGGCGCCGGGCCCGGAGAGCCGCAAGCAGCGGCCGGAGCGCGCAGCCCCACGCCCGGGCCCCAGACGCTGCGGACGCCCGGAGAGTCAGTTCCGGCGCTCTGACTCCTCCCTCGGTCCCCAGCGTACCCCCAGCCCCCTCCGCAGAGGAGTCGCAGCGTGAGCGCCCCTCGGCCGGCTCAGGAGGACCAGGTACCCTCCTCCCGCCGCCGCCACAGCAGTCCGCGGAGCGGGCGGGGTCTCTGGAGGGGACACAGGTCTGCGCCCCCTCCCCCCGCGGGTCTCGGGCGGGGCGGACTGGGTGTCTATATTTGGCCGGACAGTGGCCCGCGCGCCCGCAGGGCGCAGACACCTCGTCCAGCAGGAACGCAGAGCCCGGGGCAAGAGGTCGGAGGAGGGTGCGGGGAGGCCAAAACTTAGGCCTGGGCAGCCCAAGAGGCGTGAAGGGCACAGGGATGCCCGGGGCTCGGGAGGGTCAGGAGCCACTGTCTGCGGCTTCGGAGCTCGGTGTGTTTTCCGGGGAAGAGCGTAGCTCAGGCCCCGGCTGGAGAAAAGTCATCTCAGCCTTCCCACTCCCGCAAACCTGGCCCTGGCCCGGGGTCGAGGACCCCAGCCCCAGAAGAGTTCAGTAGGAGAGAGAACACAGGAGAGCAGGACGGAAGGATGGTAGACAAAAGCCAGAAGCCCAGGGTTAGGGCCTCCTGGAGAAGCTAGGAGAAGCGTGGAGGAGGAAGGGTCCACCTTACACGTGTGTCCCCAGCGGCAGAGGCGGAAACTGATGGATGCAATGTCAGGAAGGACTCAGGTTAAGCTGACAGGAGGAACGTCTCCCTGGCAAATTGTTTTTTAAGGCAAAATCCCCATCTGCCCAAACTATACCAGAGATGTGGGGTTTGGCATCTTGGGGGGCCGCAGTCAGCCCTAGCCCTACAGCTGGCCCTAAGCCGAGGCCTCAGATTCTGGACCAGGTGCCTCTGGAATATAAACCACTTCCTGAAGAGATGCTCACCCAAGGCTGGCATGGGAGGGCAGCCTGACCAAGGCTCCTCCCCAAACCACCTCAACTTCCAGGAAGCTTTCAGGCAGAGTCACTCCACTGTTCCTCCACCACACTCCTGTGTCCCTACAGAGAAGTCAGTCCCCAAATCCAAGACCCTCGCATTAAGCTGCACTTTACAGGTGGCAAAGAACATTCCCACCTGTACTTTAATCATCTTGAAGAAAGCTCCCTGCTTCTAGGACCAGACTCTATATCAATTTATACCTGACTCCTGGCCAGATAAACCTCTCACTTGCCACCCAGGCCCTCATCCCCCACTCTTCTGCCCTTCCACAGCTCACAGGACTAAGGACCAAAGGCATTTCTGGGCCAAGATCCTCCATCTCTGCCCCCAGCCATGAGCAGGCGTGTGGTTCGGCAGAGCAAGTTCCGCCATGTGTTTGGGCAGGCAGCAAAGGCTGACCAGGCCTACGAGGACATCCGTGTGTCCAAGGTCACGTGGGACAGCTCCTTCTGTGCCGTCAACCCCAAATTCCTGGCCATCATTGTGGAGGCTGGAGGTGGAGGTGCCTTCATCGTCCTTCCTCTGGCCAAGGTGAGGCATGAGGGGAAGGAAGGGGGAGAGAGCAGGCGGAAGGACACTGGCTGTGGCCTCCAGGGACTCTTGACAGCAGTCTGTGTTCTCAACTAGTTCCTCAGTCAGGAGGGCAGTCTGCACTTGATCCTTGTTCCCCAGACCTTCAGGAGCCGACTGAGAGGCCCCCTTGCCCCTCCCGGAGCAGCAACATCACAGTGCCCGGCCCAGTCTCCGCACAGCAGACTGTATGCAGTGGGCACCAGGCCAGGGGGAGAGAGAGAGTTGGGAAGTAGTGGAGCCAGTGCTTGGCCAGTTCCTCTCTCTCCTAATGCTGCACCCCCTTGTTTTGGGTGTGGGAATCTTTCTCCCCAGCCC